GTCCTCATTTTGAAGAGACGGTCCCCGCGTCCCTCCCCTCCTCTTCTCTTCTCATATCCTCTTCTCTTTTCCTCCTCCTCTCATCCCTCCTCTGTCTTCTCGTCATCCTCTCACTTTGGCACGCCCCTCACACGTTAAGGTCCCATTGGCGCTGGCGCGGTTCGGATGAATGCGCCGCCCCATTTGGGCACACCCCTCACGCGTTTCGTGGCCCCATAGGGAGTTCCCAGTGGTGCAGTTCGCATGGCGGCGCCGTTTCATGTTGGCGCACCCCTCACACGTTTTGTGGCCCCATAGGCAGCTCCATATATGGCCACAGTGGCGAATTGCGCATGGCGGCGCCGCCCCATTTTGGCACAACCCTCGCACCTTTCGTGGCCCCATATGGAGCTCCACCTAATGTCCCAGCGGTGCAGTTCGCATGGCGGCGCGCCGTCCCATTGTGGCACGCCCCTCAAACGCTTCGTGGCCCCACTAGGGAGCTCCATCGCAGGCCCCAGTTTCGAGCTGCGCATGGCGGCGCCGCCCCATTTTAGCACTCCCATCATTGCGTGGCCCCATAGGGAGCTCCACCGAAGGTCGAAATGGCGCAGTTCGCGCGGCGGCGCCGCCCCACTTTGGCACACCCCTCACACGTTTCGTGGCCCCACAGGGAGATCCAGACCTTCTTTCAGTCTTGTGCATTCTCGCCTTGGGCCGTCAGATTTCCGGCGCGCTGCCCCCCTCGGTCGACGTCGCCCAGGCGTGATCCTGGATTGCGGCCGCCACGAGGCGGGGAACGGCAAGACGGAGGACGGCGACTGGTGGCTGGAGCTCTACGCGCTGCTCTCGCGCGCCACCCGCCACGAGGACCTGCTCACGCGGGCGCCGCGCATCGAGTTCTTCCTGGCAGGGCCGCCGGAGCGCTTGCGGAAGCAGCTGGAGCATCTTGCGGCGCGCACGAAACGGCACAAGAGGGAGGCGACTACCCTCGCCAGGGAGCTGGGCTTCACTGAGTTTATCCGCGAGGCTTGATCTGAGGAGCGGCTCGCCCGAGCCGCGCCTTCTCTCGACTGCCCAACTGTTCGGCCTCTCGCCGCGGACGACCCGCGCGCGTCGCTGGGGCCCTCTCGGGGCGACCAGCGCGCGTCGCGGGCACTCCGCGCGGCGCTCTGCCCGGCGCCTCGGTCGCCCTTCGTCGCTCTGCCCAACGCCCAGGTCCCTGCCCGCCGCGCCGCAGACGACCCGCGCGCGTCGCTGCGACCCTTCCGATGCGACCAGCGCACGTCGCGGGACATCTTTGCGGCGCTCTGCCCGGCGCCGCGCTCGCCCGTCGTCGCTCCGCCCAGCAGCCGGGTCTCTGCCCGCCATCAGCCAGCGAATTAGCTCTCTTTGCTCCGCGCAGCGGACGACCCGCGCGCGTCGCTGAGACCGGCGCGCTTCGCGGGGATTCCGCGCTGCGCGCTTGCAGTCTTGGACCTTGGAGCGCAAGAACAACGAGGGAGAGCGACGAGGGAAGGACGCGGGCGCGACCCTCGCCGCGGGCGCGCCGACATGGGCGTCGCGGCGCGCGGGCGTTGCCATCGGGGTTTCCGGGTGGGCCCCCTGTGGCAGGCACGGTCAGCGCCACGAGTGCCCAGAGCCAGGCGTGCTCAAACCTTTCACATTCATACGCGTTCACATGAGGAGTAGCCATGCTCGCATTCATGCAAACAGTTTAGCCGCGCGCAGACTCATTCACAATCAGACTCACTCGCGCTCAGACTCACCCGCGTTCAGCCTCTCGTACACTGACCAATCGCCCCCTGTCGCGTCGTGTATCCCGCCACACATTTCGGCACGCCCCTCGTGCGGTTCGTGGCGCCATACGGAACGCCACCGAAAATGCGACTCACAATTGCGATACTCACAAATGCATAGGGTGGTGTCTTTCGCCAGGCTAATTCTTCCGACCGGCCGACCGCGCCCCCCCCCGCCCCGCCCCCTCTCCCCCCGCCCGACAATCCGACCGACCGATTGTGCCCCCCCCCCCCCCTGCCCGACCGTGACCCCCCGCGCCCCCCTCCCCCTTCCCCCTGTGGCCCCCTTCTGCTCGTTCCGACCGACTGACTGCGCCCTCCTCCCCCCCCTTCTGCCCGTCCGCGGTTCCCCGCCCCCCCCTCCACCCGCGGCCCCCTTCTGCTTATGCCGACCGACCGACCGCGCCCCCCCCCCCCCTGCCCGACCGCGGTTCCCCGCGCCCCCTACCCTCTTTCCTTCGTGCCCCCCCCTTTTGCCAATTCCGACCGACCGACCGTGCCCCTTTCCCCTGCCCGACCGTGGCCCCCCGTGATTCCACCCCTCCTCCTGTGCCACCCTCTGCGTTTATTCCGACCTACCGACCATGCCCCGCCCCCCGCTGCTGGACCGGGGCCCCCCGTGCCCCCCCCAACGCCCCTTGTGCTCCCCTTCTGGTTATTCTGACCGACCGACCATGCTTTTTTCCCTGCTCGACCGCGGCGCCCCGCGCCCCGCTTCCCCCCGTGCCCGCCCGTTTCTGCTTATCCCGGCCGACTAATTCCAAGCCCCCGGAGGTTGTTCTCGGGGGCAAAATTACGACACCCACCCCGCAATATAAGGTCCCGGATATTCCCCATATCCCGCGCGCCAGATTTCTGAGAAGACCTCCTCTTTTTGGACCCTCGTTATGAATTCGCGGCCATCAGAGCCAGCCCAGGCAACGGCGCAAACTGTTTGTTTCCAGGGGCGAGTGCTTGTCTAAGTGTTGCAATGCCCCGCCGCGCCCGTGCCCCGCGGCAGTTTTGCAGGCAAGGTCGTTGCCTTCCTGATCGAGCTGCGACTGGGGCGTTTCCGCCCGGCCCATTGCCCGTCGGCGCGGGCGTTTGCGCCGCGAGCGGCGTTCTTGTACAGGGGCTGCTCGCGCCCGCGCAGTGCTCGCCGCGCGCCCGTGGATCTTCGGCGTCATCCAGCGGGGCGCGCGGCGGCATATTAGCGACGCCGTGGCTCGCCAAGATAAGATTCATGAGGGTCCCCTGGGCTTGGGCCTGGAACCGTTTGCGCCGACATGGTTGTTGAACGTTCTGTCAAGGATAGTTTTGTCGGGCCATCAATGGCGCGCCAGTGGCGCAGCACGAGCCTTGCGCTCGTCCACGAGGGGCGCGGTCAAACGAAGGCATCACAGCGGCAGAGGGAGGGCGAATGAGGGGAGATATGTGGACGGAGACAGTAGACACAAGCGTTCGGCGATCCCCCGTCGGCTTTCGTTCGCGCGCGGTTTGCGCGAGCGCGGAGGGGGGGGCCTCCGCTCGCCGACGGCACATGATGTCATGACGCACTCGTTTGGGATCGCAACATTAGCGTTCCCAGCCATCCTGTGACGTCGGGCCGCTCTTTCAAAGACCCAGCGCCTTGCGCCCCCCACCCCCGCTGCCCCCCCCACCCCCCTTTCCTTGCCATCGGCGCCGTCAGCGCCCCAGCTGCTGATCCCCGCGCACCCCTCAGGCGCTTCGTGGCCCCATGAGGCGTCCCGCCGAAAACCCCATTGGCGACGCCTGCGTGCGCCTTCGCCACTTATTTCTGCATGCCCTCACACGTTTCGTAGTCCTACAGGGAGCCCCACCGAAAACCTAAGTGGCGACGTCCGCATGCGCCCCCGCCACCCATGCCAGCGCGCCGCTCGCACGTTTCGAGGCCCCATATGAATTTCCATCGAAGGCCCCAGTGGCGCTGCCCGCACGCGTCTTCATTATCCATTTCAGTACCTCTCGAAAGTTTCGCGGGATTTGCAGGGGACTTCAGCGAAGGCCCCAAGGGCGCCGCTCGCATGCGTCCTCGTTACAAATTTCGTCGCGCCCTTGACGCGATTCGTGGCCCCACCAGAAGGCCCACCGAAAGCCCAGTGGCACCGCCCGCATGCTTCCCCGCCAACAGTTTCGGCGCCAGCCCCGCGCGCTTCGTGGCTTCATGAGGGGCCTCACCGAAGGCCCCAAGGGCGCCCGTTGCATGCATCCTCGCCATGATGTCGGCATGCACTTTACACGGCTCGTAGACTCACAGGGGGCCCCTCTTGTGGTCTCAGTGGCGCCGCCCGCATGCTTCCCCGCCACCCATATCGGCGGGCCTCCGTAAGGAGTTCCACCAGAAGCCCCAATGGCACCGCCCGCATGCTCCACCGCCGCCCATGTCGGCCTGCCCCTCGCACGCTTCGTGGCGCCAAGATGAGTTCCACCGGGGTTTCAACGGCGCCGCCAGCATGCGCCGCCGCCAATCATGTCGGCTCGGTCCTAGCACGTTTCGTGGCCCCACATAAGGGGTCCTGCCGAGAAACCCAGCGGTGCCGCCTGCGTGCATCCCCGCCAGCCATGTCGGCACGCCCTTCAAGCATTTTGCGGTCCAGCAGGGAGCTCCGCCGAAGGCCCCAAAGTCGCCGCCAGCGTGCGTCCACGCCCTCCACTTCGGCACGCCCCTCACACTTTCCGCGGCCCTGAATGGAGTTACACCGAATGCCCCAAGGGCGCCGCCCGCATGCGTCGCCGCCAACAATTTCGGCACGCCCCGCGCGCGCTTCGCGCCCCCAGGAGGAGCTCACCGCATGCCTAGTGACGCCGCCAGCGCACGCCCCCGCCACCCATTTCCGAACTCCCCTCGCACGCTTCGCGGCCCGAAGGCGAATTCCACCGGAGCCGCCCGTGACACTTTTCACGTGCGTCCCCGCCAGTCATTTCGGCACGCCCTTCAAAAGCGTCTTGGCCCCACAATGAGGTCGACATGCGGCCCCAGTAGCGCCGTCCGCATGCGCCACTTCCACGCATTTCGGCACGGCCGCCATGCGCTTCGCACCGCCATGGGGAACTTCACCGAAAGCGGCGCCCATACTGGGTTACTCGCAGTTGCATGCGGGTTGGTCGTTCGTCAGGGTAATTAACGATTCGCGGGGCGATTGCAGGACATAGGCCGTTTCGTCGGCGAAGCATCCTGCTTTTGAACTTGCAAGAGGCTAGATATAGAACACAACGGAGCGAGAAAAACACACCGAAACAACACAACAAGAAATACCATCTAGGCTCAAACACATCCAGGCTGCTAGATCCCATCACTGCGCAATTCCTCATTGCAGCGATGCCTGGTTCTGTTGCGTCCGCGTGCTCCCAGGGCTCCAAAACCGAAGCGATCCTGTCCAGCGATTCGCAAGCACCATAATCTTTCGCCACGAAGTTCCCTGCAGCAAAAAAGCGCCCTGGATTGTCCCTGGGCGAAGCGGTGTCGAATCGCAACGCAGCGGTTCGCACAATCGACTACATGCTCAAGAACCCCACGGCCCCCCTGGAGCTGCGGGGGAAAATCGAGGAACATATAAAGTTGGAGGAAGCCAGCGCGGGGGAAAGCTCTTGGAGCTCTCAGTGCAAGAGGGTGCGGAGGATTCCCGTCGAGTGGTGGGCCTGGTGGCTGACCAAGTACGGCAGTGACTCGTTCCCTCCGACCTTAGTTGCAAAGATGAAGGACACGACCGAGAAAGAGAAGGCCATCAAGCCCATATGCTGTTTGTTTGCTTGGTCTGTCCGACAACGCGAAGCTGGACCCCAGCATGCTTGTCAAAAAGGTAGCAGCTCGCGTTTTCGAGGGAGCTGCTTCGGCGGCTGTTGACTTACACACTGGCAAGGTCGACGTGAAGAAGTTGGCCGCGCACGTGATCACTTGGAACGACGACGAGCTGTCTGAGAAGGTTACGCATCGCAGCAGCGGTGACGTTGTCGATATCGCGAAGGGCTACAAGTGGTCGAAGGAGTTCCGAATCGCGTCGCCCTTGGTCGGCGCGGAGGCCCAGGTTTGCCGCCCAGGGGATAGGACAGGCGCGCCGATCTTCAAGTTTTTCCCTCTCGGCAAGGGGCCGCACAAGTACATGGTGGACCCCGAGGGCGACGGCCTGAAGCAGCGCACTGAGAACCACTCCCGCGAGATCGACGAGGAGATCGACAAGGCCAGGGCTGGCGAGGCCTGCGCGGATGACAAGTTGCCTCCGTCAGCCGAGAAGGTTCAGATCAAGAGAAAGGCCTCGAAGATGGCCAGACAGTCGGCGAAGGAGAAACGGCAAAAGATGGAGCAGGGGTGTGATGAGTGATGTGCCGTTCGCGGCCTGACCGCCCTGTGGCACCACGGGCGCGCTCGCGCGTTGCCCGCCCGCGCAGTGGGACAGCTCGTGCTCGCGCAGTTTGGTCCGGGCTCGTCCTGGCGGCGAGCGCGGCGCGTGCAGAGCTAAGCCTCATGCAGGTGATGAGATTGGCGTAGAGCCCGAGGGTTCGATCAGGTGGCCGCAGTTTGCCTCTCGGCCGAAAAGGCAAATGCGTCGTCAGTGCGCTTGAGGAGAGACCCGCCCGTTTCCAAGGGGAACGCCAGGCGATCAATCAATGTTTTACCACAGGTGTTCTTCGCGCAAGGATCCGCACCATAAGCGTTATCGGTCCGCAGACCTGGACAGGAACATATACGCGTGACTCCTGGAGGAACGTCCCACGCACCGATTGCTGGCACCTGTGAGCGACATGTTTCCAGATATCGAGCGTAATGTGACGTTTCCGACATATTTGAGGATATTCTGTTACTGATGGTCATGAAGGAAGTGCAATGTGACGAGCCCGCTGCCTTGGAGGTGCTCGGTAAAAGATTGGGCCTGAAAGGTGCTGCCAATTCCAGCGTCGATGAGTTTCTCCAACTCGACGAGGCCTTCGCGTGCCTCGACGAAACTGACAGGCAAGAGTTCAAACAGGAGCAAAGCAAATTCAGCTACTCGGTTTCGAAGTGTCGCGAATTCGAGAAGTCCTGACGGGCAAAGCGGGTTGTCCACCAGGCAGCGGCCGCCAAGGCCAAGGCGAAGGCCAACGCGAAGGCCAAAGCGAAGGCTGGGCCTCCGCCGCCTCCGCCTCCGCCTCGCCCTCTGCCCGACGGCCTGATTGAGCAGCGGGATGCCAAATTGTTGACCCCTCCAGGCGGCTACATACGGAGGGGTAACGTAGGGCATTCATGGCACGGCCATTTCCCCCCTTACGCCATGATTTCGCGCAGTTGGCAGCTTCATGGGGGCAGCCGCCAGGCTTGCATTCTGGTGCTGCGAGAGTTATGCAAGCAGCATTTGGAATGGGCCGCAAAGGCGTGCCTGGAGGACTGCCCGATAGTCGGGCTGTTCTCGGATGACGCGGCCGACGCAGACAATTTGTAGACCGCCTGCACACGTGATTATACGATTACAAGTGATCAGAACTCTGTATTTATGTGACGCTACGCGTGTCTCCACCAGCCCGCCCAGCAACGATGCCCATGCGGTTTGCGCTGATCGCAAGAACTGGTGGGTGTTCAGAGGCGCACGGTTGGGGAAGCTGCGCTATTCAAAAACGGGCATGGATGCGGGTCTGGAGCAGGATGTGCTGGAAGACGATACGACGGGGAGAAGGAAGACCAGGAGGAGGAGAAACATATGGAAGAGAGAAGGAGGAGAGAGGATGATAACTTGGCGGAGAAGGTGGAGGAGGAAACGGGGCAGGCCAAGGGCGGACAAAATGGCCAGAGGCGCACGTGCCCCTCGGGATCTCAGCAAATGTCCCTCGGACGTTTCTTGGAGGCACATTGAACCGCCGTGGGGTCGTCATGGCGGCCTTGGGGGTCAGTTGGGGCGCCTTCGGTGCATCGGATGAACCTCTTGGCGCCGTTCGCCGGTTTCTCGGGGGCGTCTTGGGGTGCGTCTGGGAGTCGATGAGGGCTCTCTTGGGAGCAGTTTGGCTGTCCTGGGGCCATCTAAGAGGAAGTCGATCAAACGATGGTTGGTTATACATTCGCACTGCCGTTTCACAGTTCTTCCGAACCGCATTGCGGGGCGCCCTTGCGGCGCTCATGGGGCGTTCTTCGACGCCGTTGCCGCCGCGGGGGGATCTTTCCGGGGCATTCCAGGGGCTCGCTTGGGCCATTTTGGAACCGTTTTGAGCCTCGGGAGGCAATCAGCAACGACAGGGCGATCAGTTTGCACATTTGGTTGTTTTTGATGGGTTTGACAGGCGTGCGTATCTTGGGGCCGTGCTTTGAGAAGTTTCGCGGCCACTTCCAGCCATCCTGGATCTCATGCGGGGTCGCATGGAGCATATTCACAGCCATTAGGGCCAGCGAGGGTTATTTTGATACGTCCTGAAGGTCATCCAGGGCTCTCCGAGGTCACCTCGAGGCCGCCTTAGGCTGCATCGGGCGTTCCATCGCCCCGCAAAGCCCCCAGCCCTGGCCTGCTTAGGAGAAAGTACATGGGGATGAGCAACAGCCTTCCCCGAAGGGGAATGGGGGAGCATGAGAGACTATCCGATCTCAGCCGCCTGCGTCTGGAGGGCTCGTGGGACTTCACGTGCTTTGGCGTTCGTGGCGTCGAGAGTTTCGGCGCATGGTCCGAGATGGGATCCTGCGCCGACGCGGTCGTTCTTCCTTCTTCATCTTCGCACCCGTCGTCGGTGCTCTTTTCCCCCCCGTTCCCTTCGAGCGTCCTCCCATATTTCATCTCATCTTGCCTCTCTCTTTGTATTTCCATTCTCCATCGCCCTTCGCATCAGGAATGATTCCTCTTTTTCTGCCCCCTCGCCACTCGCACGGTGAAGCCAATATTGCATCGCTCGCCAGTGGCGGCGAGGGCGCGTCTTGCAGCCTCGGAGCTTCGCGTCTGCAGCCGAAAGGTGGGCCTGCCCGTCGCGGCGGGGCCATCGAACGAGCTGAGCGCTGACGCGGCCATTTTCGCGGGGCTGAGGCGCGTCGGCGCCAAGCTCGCTCGAGTGCCCAATCGCGCCGAGCAGGCCCGCCCTTCGGCTTCGACACATGGGCATGCCCAGCGAAAGCAACATAAGAGATCTGAAGGGCGTTCGGTCCACCCGCCCACGAGCAAAACACGGTGCGCACATCTCGCGGGACATTCGCTTGCCACGCCCATCTTGTCATGAAACGCCCCCCAAGCCGCAGTGCAATGTTGCATTCCATCCTCCCGCTATCCCGCTGTCGTCTTCTCCTCCGCTTAGCTGTCAGCATTGCCTCGCCGTCGCAATCTTTGACGGCGGCTGCGCCTTGCCAATGCAAAGTCGCCGTGCCCATCTTGCTTGTTTTTTTCCTTCTCCTGGTCATCCCCGCGTCATCCTTCCCTTCGTCCTCGCCCGCGTTGTCGTCCACGTCTCGCATGTTACTACTCCGCGTTTGCACTTGTTTTTTCCCTTGCATTCGCCCTCTTCGCCCTCGCTCTCCTCCTCCCTGCCGTCTCCTCCCCCTCGCGCCATCGTCGTGGCTCGAGCGGCGTCGGCCGGATTTCGCCTGCATGGCCAAAACGGCATCGAGTGCGTTTCCGAAGGGCCATCAACCAGAAGAGGTGCTAATCATCCTTGTCGGCGCGCGCGCTAGGCGCGCGCGGTGCGGCGCCCCGAGAGGTCGACGGCAATGCGGCGAATGCCGCCGAGGGAAATACTGTCCAGAAAGCAATATTCGCTTTGCTCTCAGCGCGTTCGACGCGCTTGTTTTTAATTTCTGTACGGGGTGCGCCAAACAACGAATCTGAAGGTCACCAATATTTTGTTTGCGCTCGAGTAAACGCGCGAAGCCAAACGGAGCAGTTTTCCGCTGGCGCGGGCGATTGCCGAAGGTTGCTCGTGCTTGTCGGTTGCCCGTAGGCGCCGAGAGCGCGCGGCTCGGTTTGATCTGTGCGACCGCGCGGCCGCGCGCGGCGATTGTGCGGTTTGAATATTCTGGGGCTTTGGTTTCCCAGCCCGTTCCAATGGATACACGCTGCCCGCGAGCGCGGCGACTCGATGCAGGGCGGCCGCTCGCGGGCGGGATGCCCGGGCATCGGCGACCCCATGGCGTGCAAGGCGAGGGTTCTGCCTCGGGATAGCGCCTCGTACACAGGGGGGCCCAGATCGGTCCCTGCGTTGAGATCATCTGTTGGCCTTACCAGATATATAAGTACATGGTGGCCATACGGCGGGGCAGGTGCTGATTTTTCCCGGAAAGGGCATAGGCCCAGGGTTCTCTTTTAGTAGGTAAACCTGTCCCCCGGTGCCAACTTGAGGGAGGCCGGCGAATTTTTTCCCTGATAAATAACGAGGTCGAAGGAGGCCGGCGAATTAAAATTTGAGGATGTCTCGAGCGAAACGCTTGTTTTTGAAATCCCGATCGATAAATCACAGGGTGCGGGCCACTTTTTCGTGCGTTGAGGATGTCTCGAGCGAAACGCTTGCTCCGCAGAGTTTGCCGAGGATGTCTCGAGCGAAACGCTTGTTTTGCAGAGCCGACCGCGACGCGGAAAAGCGCCCCGCGCGAAGGAATTTCGATGATGTCTCGACTAATTCGTTTGTTTTTGTACGATTTCCTGGAATTTTGGCAGGATGTCTCGAGCGAAATGCACGACCCCACCCTAGCACGACCATACCCCAGCACGACCACACCCCAGCACGACCAGACCCCAGCACGACCCCACCCCAGCACGACCCCACCCCAGCACGACCATACCCCAGCACGACCACACCCCAGCACGACCCGACCCCAGCACGACCCTACCCCAGCAAGACCACACCCCAGCACGACCACACCCCAGCACGACCTCACCACAGCACGACCACACCCCAGCACGACCACGCCCCAGCACGACCACGCCCCAGCACGACCACGCCCCAGCACGACCACCCCCCAGCACGACCACCCCCCCAGCACGACCACCCCCGAGCACGACCACCCCCCAGCACGACCACCCCCCAGCACGACCACTCCCCAGCACGACCACACCCCAGCACGACCACACCCCAGCACGACCACACCCCAGCACGACCACACCCCAGCACGACCCGATCGATAAATCACAGGGTGCGGAGCACCCCAGCACGAACCCACCCCAGCACGACCCCACCCCAGCACGACCCCACCCCAGCACGACCACGCCCCAGCATGACCACACCCCAGCACGACCACACCCCAGCACGACCACTCCCCAGCACGACCCCACCCCAGCACGACCCCACCCTAGCACGACCACACCCCAGCACGACCACACCCCAGCACGACCCCACCCCAGCACGATCACACCCCAGCACGACCCCACCCCAGCAAGACCACACCCCAGCACGACCGCACCCCAGCACGACCTTACCACAGCACGACCACACCCCAGCACGACCACGCCCCAGCACGACCACGCCCCAGCACGACCACGCCCCAGCACGACCACGCCCCAGCACGACCACGCCCCAGCACGACCACCCCCCAGCACGACCACCCCCCCAGCACGACCACCCCCCAGCACGACCACCCCCCAGCACGACCACACCCCAGCACGACCACTCCCCAGCACGACCACACCGCCTTGGTTGAGTGGTTGCCTGTCGTCGTGGAATGTTTCGTGGGGTGTCTCGTGGAATGTTTCGCGGGGTGTCTCGTGAAATGTTTCGTGAGGTGTCTCGTGGAATGTTTCGTGAGGTGTCTCGTGGGCTGTTTCGTGAGGTGTCTCGTGGGATGTTTCGTGAGGTGTTGCCCAGTTGGGTATCATGAAAACGTGTCCATGCTCCACATGTCTATATCCCTTTCCGGGTTCGTGGGTCCATCATGTTTGCTCCCCATGTTCTCATATGTTTTGGCGCGCAGCGGTCGTTGTTACCCTGGCCCCCTCTCCCTCCAGACCCCCCCATTTTTCCTTGGGTAACGGTGACGAGCGTACGGCTTCGGCAGCAAACCATGGGAACCCGGTATACCCTCCTGATTATGTCTTTCGCGTCGGCTAGCGTCGATTCGCGTCTGGGAGTGGATAAGATAGCGACGATGTAGCGTCGGCTAGCGTCGATCTGGCGTCGATTAGCGTCGATTTAGCGTCGACCAGCGTAGATTCGCAAGAGACGACAGGATGGTATGGGAGGCTCCCATGAGTTGCCACCGAATGCGGCGATCGTGCGGGGGGGGGGGCTTGGATTTGAGTAGGGCCGAGGGTCAGAGAGCGCCTTCCTTTGCAAAAACCACCAGAGAAGGGACGTCAACGTGGTCAAGGGCTTCGCCGGTTAAGCCGACGAGGATGTGCAAAATCCAGCCATTCGCTTATGTCCAAAATTTTGGCTTGACGCCGGGTGTGGTGCATCATGTTCAGCTTGACCGAACATGTTGGTTGCGCCCCTTGACGTCTGTTTGAGGTGTTCTGCAGAACTGGCCCCCCAGCTCTACTCAAGCTTGGATCACACCCCACAAGCTGGTGCCCGAAGGCATGCTGTGTTGCTCACAGGTATGCTGCGGCTCTCGGGTTTCTCACCCCGCCCAAGCGTTGCCTTTGCCCGCCCCCCACCACCGCCCCGTAACCCGATGTTGCCTGGCGAAGCAAACAACACACAAGAAAAACGAACAACAACAAAGAACACTTGAAGAACCCAGAATCAGCCACAAGCAAGTGATCGTTTTATGATTCATCGTTTTAGTAGATCAGCGCGGGCCCTCGCACACCGCCCCCCTCCCCCCCGTGGAGTAGATCTTGGCTGTTTTGGGCGCCCGTTTCGAGTAGGCGGATGGAGTCTCCCCAATAAATTGTTGCAAACAGTCGCATGAAGCAGAGGTCTGGAGCCAGACCCTCCCCTCCCTCCTTCCGTCCAATGTCGAAACGCCGGCTAAGAAAACGCTTGCCAACAAAACAACGTATAGGTAAGGAATCAACAACACAAACAAACAACCAAGGCCTTCTTGGGGAGTTTTCTGGGGCCCCCCTGGGGGCCAGGACTTGGAGGAACCCCCAAAGAAGAAACCCAAAACAAGGAACCTAAAAACCAACCGCCTAAAAGAAGCACGCAAAATCGTCATCCAACAACAGACAACCTAAGACAAACCAGCAAACGACAGTCCACAGAGCAAAAATGTAGGAGCCTAAAAACAAGCAGCGCCTGGAGGCCACGGCCCCCCCCCCGCCCGGCGCCCCTCCCAGGGCTCAATTGCGATTCCTCCGGCCCGATTCGACTCCGATTTCGGTGGCCCCCGACTCCGTCCGATTCGATTCGACTTCAGATTCCGATCTGCATGTCGATTCCTCGATCCCGGAGATCCCATGTCGTGATTTGTTCAATATACGCGGCCGCCCGAAGTCTCGACCCCTTCCCCAGGACCGGTTTGTCATCTTGAGTCGTTTTGTTGACGCTCCCGCGGCCCGACGATAGCCCCTGGAGGCCGAACATTGAGAAACGCCTCCGCCTTGATTGTTTTTCCCGGAAAGGGCGCGGGCCCAGGGTTCTCTTTGTCTATGTAAACATGTCCCCGGTGCCCAACTTGAAGGAGGCCGGCGAAATTTTTCCCTGATAAATATCGAAGTCGAAGGAGGCCGGCGAAATTATGTTTGAGGATGTCTCGAGCGAAACGCTTGTTTTTCAGAATTTGTTGAGGATGTCTCGAGCGAAACGCTGGTTTTGCAGAGTTGGGGATGTCTCGAGCGAAACGCTTGGTTTCAGAATTTGTTGAGGATGTCTCGAGCGAAACGCTGGTTTTGCAGAGCCGACCGCGACACGGAAAAGCGCTCCTCGCGCAGGAATTCCGAGGATGTCTCGCGCGTGCCGCGTCCCGCACGCAGGAATTTTGATTTCTTTGGGTTTTGACAGGATTTCTTAAGCGAAACGCTTGCACGACCACACCCCAGCACGACCACACCCCAGCACGACCCCACCCCAGCACGACCACACCCCAGCACGACCACACCCCAGCACGACCCCACCCCAGCACGACCCCACCCAGCACGCAAGACCACACCCCAGCACGACCACACCCCAGCACGACCTCACCACAGCACGACCACGCCCCAGCACGACCACGCCCCAGCACGCCAACACAGCACGACCACCCCCCAGCACGACCACCCCCCCAGCACGACCACCCCCAGCACGACCACCCCCCAGCACGACCACACCCCAGCACGACCACTCCCCAGCACGACCACACCGCCTTGGTTGAGTGGTTGCCTGTCGTCGTGGAATGTTTCGTGGGGTGTCTCGTGGAATGTTTCGCGGGGTGTCTCGTGGAATGTTTCGTGAGGTGTCTCGCGGAATGTTTCGTGAGGTGTCTCGTGGGATGTTTCGTGAGGTGTCTCGTGAGATGTTTCGTGAGGTGTTGCCCCGTTGGGTATCGTGAAAACGTGCCCATGCTCCACATGTCTATATCCCTTTCCGGGTTCGTGGGTCCATCATGTTTTAATCAAGACGTCGGCTCTCCGGAATGCGGGCCTGCTGACCGGCGCCCCTCCGGCGGCGCAGGGCCCGGCGGCCCGCGAGCGCGCCGCGGGGCGGCCCGCGCGGGGGGCCCCCCCCGCGAGGCCGAGACGAGGAGGCCGCGGCGGCCCGGCGCTACCTGCAGCAGCTGCGGCCGCGGGGCGAGGCGCGCGCCGCGCTCCGAGGAGAAAAAGCACCACAAACCTGGAGGTCCGACGCCTTGACAAGGGCTCCCTCGAGGGCGCGAAGTTATTCGCGCTTCGCGCTTCGCGGTCCTCGTTCCTTCTCCCCCTCCTCCTCGTCCTCCTATTCTCCCTTTGGGAGGGCGGCGCGGGAGCGCGAAGTTTTTCGCGCTTCGCGCTTCGCGCAGCGCGAAGCGCGAAGTTGGGAGCCCTAGCTTGAAAACATCGCACTTCATCAAGCCTAGACGGAGTTTTTTCTGAGTTTTGGCCTCCAGGGGCCCTCGCCGGGCCCCGGGACCGCCAAAAGACGGCTCAGGACGAGAAGCCGGTCCTGGGGAACGCGTCGAGACTTCGGGGGACCGCGCATGGACAAAATCACGACACCGGATCTCCGGGAAGGGTGGGCCCATCCTCCACCACCACTGTCATAGGTAGGAGAGGGAGGAGAAAGAGGAAGAGGAGGAGGAGGAGGATGAGAAGGAGGAGGAAAAGGAGGAGGATGAGGAGGAGGAGAAGGAGGAGGAGGAGGGAGAGGAGGAGGAGGAGGCGGAGGAGGAGGAGGCGGACCTCCTTGTCCTCCCTTCTCTCCCCCGGCCTGCATCTGGTAGTGGTGGTGGGAAATTTAATTTGCCCATCAATCAACATGAACTTTTGGCGCTCCGCGCGGATTTCTTGGGTCCGCGCTGGGGTCCCCTGTCGGCGCCTCCGGCGCGCTCCGCGCGCCAGGGAGAGGGTTCGAGCCCACATCGAAGATATCCGCGCGGACCTCCAAAAGGTTGTGCTTGTATCGTTGTTCCTTCAAATTACACCCGCGCCCCGCCCCTCGGCTGGGGGAGATGCGACACCAACACCACCAGGGGGGTCACCTCCAGCGAGGAGGTTCTCTTTCTCCTCCTCCTCCTCCTCCTCCTCCTCCTCCTCCTCCTCCCTCATCCGCCTCCTCCTCCTCCTGCTCCTCCTCAGCCTCCGTCTCTGCCTCCTCCTCCTCCTCCTCCTCCTCCCCTCCTCCTCCTCTGCGTCCTCTCCTCCTCCTCCTCCTCCTCCTCCTCCTCCTCCTCCTCCTCCTCCTCCTCCTCCTCCTCCGCCTCCACCTTTCCAACGTGGGAGGAGGGCCCAGTTGACACCAACACCACCAGGGAGCTTCTCCTCCTCCTCCTCCTCCTCCTCCTCCTCCTCCTCCTCCTCCTCCTCCTCCAGCACTGCTCCTCAGCTCAGCGCGTCGCGCTGCTGGTCCTGGCCCGCCGCGCCTTGGCGCGACACGCTGAGCACGTCTGGGATCCCAAGCGCCAACATCCTCCCGACGAGCCTCTCCCAGCCTCCCGCGGAGCGAGGAGGAGCGAGGAGGAGGAGGCACGTCTGTGAGCTCGCAGGGCCTCGCGCGTCGCCGGGGCCGCCGCCGCGGCACGCTGAGCAACAGGGCCCGACCGCAGAGCCTCTCGACCCTGCCAGGGCGAGCAGCGAGGTGTGTGTGTGTGTGTGTGTTCTTCGGGGCGGGCTGTTGCGGCCTGCGGGCCTGCACCTGCCGGGTCTGGCCTCCGCCGGGCCGTTCTCACCAGGGGCCGTGCTGGGCCAGGGGGGGTCCTGTCCACCCCCGAAGACACAGCTTCACACGCACAACCAAGCTTGCCGAGGCGCCTGCAAAAGCTGCGCAAACATAAGCTTGCCGAGGTCCTCCAGGATTTCTTGGGTCGGCGCTGCCCCCCCCCCCCGCCTGGCGCACAGAGGCGCCGCCAGCGGAGCGTCGCCGATGTGCCAGAAATCTGCACGGGTCTCCAGCGAGGTTCTCTTTGTGATGTTTTTATGTTTCTTCCATCGCCGATCGTTCGGCGGTGTACCGTTGACGCCAAAACATATCCTGTTCCCTCGACTTGCGTTTATGCTATCGCTTTTCGCTCGATTATTCTTCACGCTTCGCGTATGCCTACCAGCTCATTTAGAAAAGCTACCCATGATGATAATTGACGGGAGATTGAAGGAAGAGACGCACATAGTGAACCAAAGCGGGCAACCATAGTGACTTGAGGATGCGGAGTTGGAGGGGGAGGAGGAGGAGGAGGAGGAGGAGGAGGAGGAGGAGGAGGACCAGTGGAAACCCAAGAGTCATCAGCGATGTTGGAATTAACCCTCCCTCCAAGCTCTCAAAGGCCCCATACAACGGTTCATTTCCATTGAGGGAATTGCCTCGTTGGAAGGCAGCGAATTGAAGACTCTGAAGCGTGCCAAAACATTGTTCTCTGGATTCCAACGCCACGTCTCAACCTCACTGCTGCGTCTTGACGATCCAGAATCGTGCCAGAACGCCATGCTAGGGGAATTCAACACAGCGAATCCAAATAATTGTTGCGCCCGCATAATCCTGAATCCTTCCGAGACATCACTTCTGGTACGTTGACCATGGGAATCCGTCAAACTCTGGCCAATGTTTAAACCGAATGTGCGCCGCGCTAAAGCGAGAACCACATTTTGAACCAAACGCATTTAATCCGTGAAACTCATGCAAATGCTCAAAAAGAATGTGCGCGGCGCTAAGGCGAGAGCCACTCTTTGAACACCACCCGACAAACACCCGCCCTCAATCCGTGAAACTCTTGCAATGTTTAAAACAAATGTGCGCGGCGCTAAGGCCAGAGCCATACCTCGAAAACCACTCGCCCTCAATCCTTGAAACTCTTGCAATTGTTTGGAACGAGTGCGCGGCGCTGAGGCGAGAGCCACATTTTGCAAAGGACCCGCCCTGAATCCGTGAAATATTTGCAAGTGTTGTTCCTAACACGAAAAACCCGTGCGTGCGCGGCGCTAAGGCGATAGCCACATTTCGAACCCCTGCCCTCCATCTGTGAAACTGGCTGTCATTCTCTAAGCTTCAGAGTCATAAACGGTCAGGAAGTATCCGGCGAAACGCCCGGCCCGCCCTAACAATTGGCCTCGGAGTGCGACAAGGCGGAGTAACCTATAAGGAGAAGGAATGGAGGAGGAAGAGGAGGAGGAGGAGGATATGGACGACAACGAGAGGACGAGGAGGAGAAGGAGGACGAAGAGGAAGAGAAGGGCGAGAACGAAGAAGACGACGAGAGCAAGGATGATGACGAGGAGGACTAAGAAAAGGACAAGGAGGAGGACGAGGAGGAAGACGAGGACGAAAAGGATGACGAGGAGGAGGAGGAGGAGGACGAGGACGAGGAGGACAAGGAACGGACTCTGGCAGCCATCTTGGGGTCCTCGTTGGGCTCTCTCGGGGCCTTCTTGGGGGTCTGTTGGGGCCCTCGTGGGGCTCTGTTGGTTGGGGAGACTCCCTGGGGTCCTCTTGGGGCTCTTTAGGCGGTCTTGGGGCCCTCTTGTGGCTCTTTTGCAGGCCTCTGGAGGGTCTCTGGGGGTCATCTTGGAGATCATCGATCAAAGGGTGAGGGAGGTCCCCATCCAGGCCAACCCCCTCAAGAGCCATCAAACTCGTCTATTGAAGTTCTCTCGGTGCGTTATTTGGCGCTCTTGGGGCCGTCTGGGGAGCCTTTTGGACCCCTCTTGGTGCTCTCTTGGGCCATCGTGGGGCCATCCTGAGGCCTTTAAAGAACATCGGACGCGAAAAGGCGAGAAGGCCAACATCAGTGATGTTCCTTCGGTTGTTGACTGATGTTTGCCTCCTGGGGGGTCCTGAGGGGGCTTCGAGAGTACTTGAAGCCGTCTTGGAGTTGTCTTTTGGGTTTCTTGAAGCCTGTTGGAAGCCATCTTGAGCCATCACCGGCTATCTGTAGCCATCTTGGAAGCCATATTGGAGCATCGACGGCCCTCGTGGAGCCACCTTGGGCGGACAAGAACAACCTTCTGCCACTTCGCGGCCCTGCCCGTCCAGACCCAGGGGGAGGGCCGCGGGAGGGGGGAGGGGGAGAGGCGAACCCCTCCCCGAAGGGGAAGAAGGGGAGCGGAAGAGGACACACCCTAAACCACCTCCGCCCAGAGGGCTGGTCGGATTCTGCCCGCGCCTGCGCGGGCAGCGCCGCTATCAGAGAAGTCCGCGCGGATGTCGAGCAGTGTAGGATTATCTTTGTTAGTGCTCGTGTTTCGTTCCTTGCTATTCTCACTGTGCTTCTTCTTCTGCGGCACCTACTATTTCTGCATATTCGTATTGCTTTTCAAAAAAAATTAGCATTGCCTCTATTATTACGGATCCTTGTTATGATCTTGCTCCTTGTTGTTTTCATTGTGTTTCTTCTTCTGCGGCACCTACGTCTCCGTCTTCTGCCAGAGGCTTACGCCATGCCGCCGACCCCCAGAAGAGGGATGGGGTCCACGGAGGAATCCTTCGGGGGGGCTTTGTGGGGGGCTTCTTGGAGGCCTCTTGGGGCCTCTGGGGTACATCCTTTTTACCTAACAGCGAAGACTGATAGGTTTCTAGTAGGGTCAAAAGAAAGCATCATGACTCCCCAGGGGGGTCTGGGCGGGGTCTGGCGATCTGCCGGCGCTCTGCCGCCGCCACCCAAATCGCTTGAGACATCCTCGCAAAATCGCTCTTGGCGCTCCCAGAACTCCACTCCCAGGCCACATTTTGAATGCCCGGAGCCAACTGTAGGCCACTTCGTGCTCTTCGACTTCCCAGAACTCCATTCCCGGGCCGCATTTTGGATGCCCGGAGCCAACTGTAGGCCACTTCGTGCTCTTCGATTTTTCAGAACACCACTCCCGGGCCACATTTTGGATGCCCGGAGCCAACTGTGGGCCACTTCGTGCTCTTGGATTTCCCAGAACAGCATTCCCGGGCCACATTTTGAATGCCCGGAGCCAACTGTAGGCCCCTTCGTGCTCTTCCACTTCCCATACTTCCAAGACTCATCATCATCATCATCATCATCATCATCATCGTCCCCGTGGCCTTCTTGGCTACAGCCCTGCTTTCGAAGATTTCCTTTCAAAGGAACTGCGCAGCGCCTACTGCACACCTTAATGCCAGGACATGCTGATAGTTCTCGGTCTGGCGGCGGTGCTCTTGACC